GGCAAATGGTCTTAAACTGAGTCCTTCCAAATGTCAGACTGTTAATTTCAGTTCCCGACGTAAAAGAAAGTTAAATGAAACTCTGAATTTCTATGGCTGTTGTAAAATTGATGATAGAGATATAGAAATCAAGTCCGACGTTAAGTATCTTGGGTTAATTATTTCTTCAGACCTATTCTGGTCTTCCCATGTCTTAGCGATTTCTAAAAGAATATTTCGTCTTGATTTTCACATGATGAAGTTAAGGCACTCAGACACAACTGAACCCCTCCCCTTACAGTTTGTCAGCTTGTGCATCTTACCTGTTCTCCTTTACTATTCATCCTATTTCATGCTTCGTAGAACTCTGAAGACTGTCAGTAGGGCGAATGGTCTCCCTTTAGGACCTATCGTTACAAGTGTCATTGACGAGGGGCACTTAATTTCAGCAGACTGTGAGTATTCACGTTACCTGCAGCTTTCACCCCGTGTCTACTCAGGTGGAACAAGAAGTCATTCGATAGACTGTATGCGTGCACGTCTTAGTATAAAACATCCGCGATACCACATTTGGCACGTATTTTATGCTATGAAAATAGTATCAGGACGAATTAACTAGCCTCCTTTGCACTAGCGAATAAACCATTCTCACCATCCTCATCCCACCAAGCTTTACTGTTATTATTCTTATATTTATAATCCTCTCTCGAATATTTCTGGCTTAATATCCTGACTGTGAACAAATTCCTGTGGTGAATTTATATTTTAAGTAGTTTGGATGCAATACTGTGAGAAATACAGAAAATTCTATCATCTAAGAGTACTGTTTTTGTAATTTAAGTGGATCATTACTAAAAACTTTAATGACGCTACTTTATCCTACTCAACGTGTCCTTCTTGCTTTAATTAGGATAGTAGCGTGTTTCACAGAACTCATCACAGCGTATCAGCCTTAAATGCATACCACATGTAGGCATAATGCCTATCAGTTAGGTATGCAAATAAAAGTAAACGCTTGTACGGTACATTCACTATATGGAAGACTAACTAGTATGTAAGAACTACAACTTGACCAGTTATACAACATTCAATATATCTAGACACAGTTAACGTACACTGCTTACTTCTATGACGCATTACCTAAAGCTATGTAGCTTCCTTGAAATAGTTTCCGCTGAAGGCAATCTCCTGCAGCTACTACCTCAGTGAGCAACTTAACTTTATCTTTGAATTACAAAGTAAAAGTGGAGGTATTGAGAGCTTTCTTGGTCAAAAGACAGTCTCCTAGTCGATAAAAGTAAATATATCCTAATCTCCATGAAAGCGTTTAGAGGTTTTCATCCTATCACCTCAAATGACCCGCTATTCACAGTCACTTAAAAAGTAAAAATTAATTTACTGAAGACAGTGTTATTATGATTTCTAGGTATCATAATGCACCATGAGGATGAAGCTATATCCATAGGGTTATAATAGTCAGACGCGCGATATTAATCCGAAACACAAAGACTACGATTCTCAATCATAGAACATGCTACCTAATCGTATCAACAGATGTTTCGCCAAGAATAAGAAGACCATTGGTTCAAGGAAAATTTATCTAAAGTTTCCTTAAAAATTATGGACACCTGTATTCATAGTCACGGACAATTCACAATCATCCAGAAAATGAGAATTACATTATTTGAACTTTCGTTCAATTTTGCTTGAGTTCTACTCAATCTCGTCAAATGTATTTCATCGTTCAATTTACTTATTTAATTTTATTGTAGTTTCTACCTGATTGATGTCAACCGCTTAGCGTAATCTGTAGTTTAAAATTTACAGTTCTTTTATTTCTAAGAGAAGAATATTTATATGCGATTATATAGCTTGATAATGCTATCGTTGAAAAGAATAACTCTTCGCTGAAGGTCTTTCCCTTTTATCTGACTCAATGGGAATTTCTGGGTTACGCAGTATGATTCCCAATCTAGGCAATTCATCGTCATAGTTTAAATTTGAACTAAGGTTGTGTGGTTAGTGTTAGTCAACAGGAAACCACGAACTAAGATTGAGTACTTATTTGGACTCGTCAGCAAAGTATTTCCGAAACCTTGAAGGAACTGGTGTCCCTTGGGGACTCGAACTTTCACCCCTCAGTGGTGCAATCAATACACCTGGCTTGATAATTTGATTCATAGAAGTTAGTGAGCACTAAGGATTAGAAATATGACCGGTCAGTGCTTGACGCTTGAAATGTCTATTTAATTCTCCTGTTAACATTCATAGGACGACTAAAAATCGCTAACACTGTCTAAAAAACTGACTATAAAGGTACAATATCCATACTTTTGCCTCGTATGCTCAAGATGGTAATGGCGGTATTTGAAGAAATATAGTTAGTTAGATTTCACTGATTTTTGGCTTCTATTAATATATTGCAGAATTATTAAGAATTATAGAAGTAGCAATTGCTGCATAACCTTTGGCTCAAAACCCCAAAAATTACAAAATAGATTAAAAGCTATGATTAGTTAAAAAAATTTAATCATGTTGTGGTCTTTAAAAGTGTCGAAATTACGAATTCTGCCTGAATAACGCATGAAACCTAGTATAGCCGGCAGTTTCTAACCAAGTACACTGTATTCAGTTTTGTGTATCCTGAAGTCATTTCCATAACAGCAGATGTTTACCACTGGTTTTTTAAGTGCTTTTAATAGTAACAAGTTAGAATCCCTAAAAACATAAAAATTACTCCTATTGTGATGAGAGTTGGCTGCAAGCCAAAATCGCAGACAACAATTTACGTCAGTGTTCACGTCCCGAATCAGGATCATGAGAAAAACAATAACAAAATTTCACCTTACGAAAATCACCAGCGAATCACAGCCAAGTTAACGTGTGGAAATATGATTCACAGAAATATGGCTTGATTTTCTGAGAAACTGCCATAATGAGATAACAGAATAAACCTGAGCAAGAGAACGACCAATCAGAAGAGGTTGCTTCTCCGCTAACAATAACACTTATAATAATGCACATAAAAATCTATAAACATATGTGGTGATTGACAATTTCTATCTCTGTATTGTTTTAATACTTAATGTTGATTGTTAATATGTTTCTTATATGAACTGCATAATAATTCCGCTAAATACAAATTCCTGAATTCCGCCCTCTCTGTGTTTTGTTTGGATTCTTGTAATTCGGTCATCTCGAAATACTAGTACTACGACTACAAATAATTGCAACAAATTGGCGTCGCGATGGAACTAAATAACCTTGGAAAATTCCCTATAAATGGTTCTCCGCGGGAAATTGCTGATTATCTTGAATGCTTCGATGCATGGTGCATTTCAAAGAATGTTCGGGATGACAAAATACCAGCACATTTCATCACTGCTATTGGGCTAGATGCATATAGCCTTGGGAAGAATCTGGCGTTTCCAGATAAACCCATTTCTCTGTCATATGTCAAGATTCGTGAGCTTCTGATACATCACTTCCATATAACCACTTTTGAGACGCGAGTGAGGGCTCAATTCAACAAACTGGTTCGTGCTCCCAATCAGAAGATTAGAGACTTCATTCTTCAACTTTAAATACAAGCTTCAAAGTGCAACTTTGGAGATTAGCTGCATATTCAACTACGTGATCGTCTAATTGCTGGAATCAATATTCCTAAGTTAGAGAAAGAGTTAATTCAGATTCCTTCTTGTACCTTTCAAACTGCTAAAGATTTATGTATTACATATGAAGATGTCAACAGTGAATACTCTGCTCCCACTACGTCAGTATCTGATGTCATGCTGTCCAAAGTCGAAAATACAAGTGTTCATGGAAAGCAATCCAAATTGTCGTCCACAGGTAATAGAATGCAGCGAGAGATCAAAAACATTAAACCGTGTTTTTCCTGTGGAAAGTTACATCTACGAAGCACTTGTCGTTTTCGGGGTGCTAAGTGTCATAAATGTGGTAAAGTTGGACACATCAAGACTGTTTGCAGAAGTTCGAATACTTATGTCACTCAGAATTCTTATAATTCTCCCAATTTGTCTAGTAAAATAGAGTCAATGTGTCTTTCAACTTTTCAAAATACTCAATCTCATCCAATGAAAACCTCCACTACAAGTTCAGCAACTCAAGCGTCAACTGTTTTCAAAAATGAGGTAGCCGAGTTACAATGCGAACTGTCGAAAACACGAGAAAAACTGAATGAGATGAGAGAGCAACTGATTAAAATGGAGGAATTGCTGCATATTCATAGACCGCGTCTGTTGGATGCAGAGCATACAAGTACCCGTGAAAGTCCTGCAAAACTTTTCAAATCTCGAATTCTCAAAAAGCATCTGATGTCCGCGACTTCTAATGTACATTATTACAAAGGGAATGACTATAGACCTTCTGTTGGAATCACACTACAAAAAATGGGAAATCGAGTGGTGAAGATATTAGACATCAAAGATCACTCAGCTCATAACAGACACCTGGACAAAGTGACAACAAATGAAGTAGGTCGTTCCAATTATAATTGTAATGATTCCTCTACTAATCCTGATTTTGTAGATAATTCAGAAATAAGTCCAGATAATACTGATGAAAATGATATCACAGAATCAGTTGGAAGATCGCAGCTACTTGCAAGCAAACCGAGACATCGTTATAAATACGCAAGGAGATATTCGACGTGTGGCGGATGTGGTGATTGACAATTTCTATCTCTGTATTGTTTTAATACTTACTGTTGATTGTTAATATATTTCTTATATGAACTGCATAATAATTCCGCTAAATACAAATTCCTGAATTCCGCCCTCTCTGTGTTTTTTTTGGATTCTTGTAATTCGGTCATCTCGAAATACTAATACTACGATTACAAAAATTACAATTCATCTGTTGATTTTCTCAATAAACGACCTGCTGCCTTGCCCTTGTCCTCTGTCGTTTCAACATTATATTTTAAATCTAAGCTCTATTGCTTACTTTATAGAAAAGTGACTGATAAACAAGTGCACTTTACAAAGGTGCTCAAATTCTATTGTAACAACAGAAGACAAGGGCCAGGCAACAGATCGTTTTATTATGAAAATCAACACGTATTTATACATATTTCAACTACATTATTATAGACAAGCGCAGTCATCTGATTGGTTGTTTATCAGAAGTTAGGTAGACAAACGCAGGCTTCTGATTGGTTGTTGACTCAGCCTTGTTGATATTTTCTCACGGCCCATATTAGTGACCTAGACCTTAACGTAGATTAGTGCCAACCAATCGGCTAGCAGCCTGCTCTCACCACACTCGTCCCCCTGTCAAATACGTGCGACTGAAGTCGGCTTGATCTACTTGCTGCAGTTGTCATCGTTGGCTTGTCTCGCTGTATCCATTTTTGGAGCTCGCTGACGTTCACGCGCCTCTCATTGTTCGCCATTGCGACTGTGTCTGCGTAACCCCATCTCGAAGTGACCATATGTGGTCCTTCCCACTTTGGAAACTGTTTGCCTGACCCTGTCGAACATTCGTCCATACTTCGGCCCACACCTTCATATGCTGCTTTCGCCCGACCTCCCAGCAGCGTCTCAAGTAGCAGCTCCATCGCTGACAGATTTTGAACGCCACTCAACTGCGCAGAAGCCTTGAAGTCCTGCCCGAAGATCCATATGTCTCCATCAAAAACTGCAGGGTATAGGCTTTTCATTTGTCGGTAGGCAGCGACACCAAATGTAACAACAGAAGACAAGGGCCAGGCAACAGATCGTTTTATTATGAAAATCAACACGTATTTATACATATTTCAACTACATTATTATAGACAAGCGCAGTCATCTGATTGGTTGTTTATCAGAAGTTAGGTAGACAAACGCAGGCTTCTGATTGGTTGTTGACTCAGCCTTGTTGATATTTTCTCACGGCCCATATTAGTGACCTAGACCTTAACGTAGATTAGTGCCAACCAATCGGCTAGCAGCCTGCTCTCACCACACTATGGCTATGTTAATTAATTTATTAAAAATTACGTGAATGCCCTACTGATAAGCATAATCAAATTTTATTGATGTATATGTATGCAACAGATTTTGTAGTAGTAGAGATTTTTAGCTTAGATGGATGATTTTGATGTGGTTGTGTTCTCTGAGCTGATTCACTGAATGAATTGCGAAGCTTCCATTGTCTTTCTACACAGCATCTTTAGCGCAAGCTTTAATATAAAGTGAACATGTCTGAATTCGCAACGAATGATATAATTGTACTTCCTGAGGATTTTTGTGATGAGATTCACTTATATTGTTCATGGAGAATTCAAACACATTCACTTTATATACTAAAGCTTGCACTGTCCACAAAGACAATGAAAACTTCGCAATTCAATGAATCAGCTTGGAGATTTTGTAGTCCCTGTGAAGGTATTACAAACATTTTCATCCTCACTGATTGGACCAGCTAGGTAATGAGTTTCCAGGAATCCATTTTCACACCCTGGTTTTTTTCCCAGTGAACAGTAGAAATGAAGAGTACACGACTGATACTAGGTTTTCACCTGTCAGAAGGATGGAAGTGCAAGACAGCTACTGAAATTGTTAAAATTACTACTATCTTAAACAAACTATAACATTTTCTGAACACATAATGCAAGCGTAGTTATTTTAATTTTCTGAAATTTAATAGTGTCTCTATTGACTTATTTGTTTTTCAGTCTAACTACATTTTAAACATTTGCGACGAGTTTTCTATTATACGTACGTTGCATCACCGTGACAGTGAAAAACGATAGTCTCCTGTTTTATAAATACCCAAAATTATTTTTATCGGAGCAGATTACAAACTCTACTGAACACTACTCACTTGATACTGTTGACATAAATGAGGAAAATACTGTTGTATGTCAACTGTTTGCCTTCATACTTTAAACTTTCACTGATTTTAGTGTTCATACATTATTCTTTTATTTATTTATCCTTTATCTTCTAAGCCGCGGTGTTCATTTATTCCATCTGTTTGGATTTTTCTCAGTAAATTTCGACACTCACTAAACTGAAACTTCAGTATCGATAAGCTTCCAAAATAAAAACCGTTTATTTTATTTCCTATATTCTCAGAAATTCGTAACAAACCTTGTGTAGTTTTGCAAACAAGGGGGTTTTCCGCCGTAAGTTAAAATATCCCTAGTTCATAGTTATCGCCTCACACAGCCTTAAATGTACAGGTATACTAATATCATAATAAAATCTTTAAAAATCAAGAATTGTGCATGGAAAAGTAAGATGATCTTCATTCATTGCTTTGCGTCCCATTTGGAACTCAGGGCTTCAGGTTTTGAAGTTTCAGTAACAGTTGTGTTATTTTCACAGGGATAGCGTTGCTGCTCCAACCTTCTCTCTCTCCTAGGCCTACTACTGACTAGTGAACAGGGCAAAGTTTACAAGAACGTAGACCGGGAATCGGATCAAGACCACATGCTTGGTTGGTGAGAATTGTATCGCTAATCCACAAACGCACTGAAATCGTAGAGTACTGGACAGCCTTTTTGTCCTAGGTTGGAACTCCTCATCGGTACGCAACCATCATCTAGCCGAGGAAGCGGCGCAGGATCTTCAGCTTACAGGGCAAATGTACTGACTCTCCAGCCACTGGGAAAGTCAGATAATTTAAGCTGAGTGTATTTTACCAGAAATCTTTGTTTTAGCATCATTCATATAATACACATTTAAGTTTTTCAATCCTTTCCCAAAAATTATTATGTAAGGCATTTTCACACGTACGTCATTGTAAACAATTAATTTAGGGAAAAGAATTCCATTGATTGCACGTGACTGTTTTGTTCTGTTGACCTCCGCTTATTGACTGCTGTATATTTTGTATTTCTTCGTTGTGAAACTTTAATGTCTTCTTAATGACTGCTATGCATATTTGATTTTGACTACAGCTTGATTCCACACTGTAATTTTGGTACTTGTATGGAATTTTCAGCATACGATGTCGATAGCCCAAATTGTGCAGGCCGACCATAGATATCAGGTGTGCGTCGACAGCGGATCGAACCTCGGACCATATGCATGGTCGGCGAGAGTCCTAACTACTGTGCCACCGACGCACTGATATAACCATGCTTTCCAGTTATCTTTCCGACTGATATTATATTTAGGTTTCCAGTGTGAGTATTTCATTGATTTGAAAGTGAATTTCGCTTAGAGCTGACATCACTGAGGGAAATAATGAGAACCAGGTAGCACAGAACAGCTATGTCATCCTGTCTGGGGACACTTCTGTACTGCGCATACATCATTGGTGTTAGAACAAACAATTTCCTGATTACAAGGTGAGCACTCAGGTACCTCCAGTTGTCCAGTCCAAAATAGGACGAAATGCGCATCCTGGATTCCACTGCTAGTCACCATAAACCAAGTTAACGAATAGTTTCCTAGCCTTTAAGGCTCAAGGACGGCTGCTTTTGGTCCAGCTGGTGACAGGCGCCCCCATTTTTAAACTCACTTCAGTATATATTGTTCAGGTAAGTTAAAACAAACTAATTGCGTACTAAATATTCAAATGGATATTGAACAAGTGGAAGTCACTAATCTGTTCATATGTTTAACTTATAAATACTAGCTCGATCGATAGATTTCAAGATAGATTTGGGTATGAACTGACTTCACGTTACTATTTTGGACTTCTCGTGCAGCTGTGCTCAAAGCTTACATTAATATGATCTTCTTGAGTTTCTAATGGAACATGAGGCTTTAGCAGTACATTTTATCAGTATCCATTGTTTACGATCTACTTTCACCAGTTCCACGACTACCTATAAGTTTTCACTTCCCCTTCACATGACTCCCCCCCCCGCCTGCTCATCCCTTCCCCCTAGGGCTTCATTCGAGGGCCTGGCAAGTGATGTCACTTGGAGGTCTCCGCAGAGTATGTCCAAATCATCTCCATTTCACGCACTGATAGAATAATGCCATATTTAGCGCTTGTTGATTTTCAGTGTTTTCTAATTGGTATTCATCTGTTATCGATTCAGAGTCAGTCGTAAAAATGTTAACATTTTGTTTCAACTGTTGTATTCTAGATATATGAACCGTAATTTTGAATTATGAGACCGCTTTCTAAAGAACCTCATGGAACTAACATAATGGTGACACAATAAAAAACACTCCCATAAGATTGCAATACAATGTAATGTTTTTTTTTGACAAAACATGAATTAGTATAAACTTATTAGTAGGCTTTTTGTGTAATTATGTTTTTCATTTCTTCACCTTGTCCACGATTAGCATATTCAATAGCTTCGTATTGCACACGTTTATGTGAAGGTGCTTCAACGCCAACAAGTGGAATATTTGATACCGTTTTACCCCCTAACAATCCTGAAATCATCCCGTTACGGTTAAGTTCTGCAATTTCTTTCGCCTCTTCACTAACATGCGCAAATCCACATCCAACAGGATCAGGAGGTAGACGATCGTGAGTGATCAACTCTTGTACTGCAGAACCTTTATGATTCATAGCAGCTTCTTGTGCTTCTGAGCCTCTTAGAGAGCGAACCTATAGAATAAAACAGTTCAATGAATGAAGGAATGAATATTTATACAATTTAAATTTGGTTGGTTGATAGTCTTTATTTGTAGAAAGCATATCTTATTCTCAATTGTTAGATTTTCGCTACGAACCAACACAGGTTAGAGAGATTATTAAAAAAGTACGGAGCACTGGGTAGATATTCCATTCTACAGAAGTACGCACCCACGGAACGAACTTGGGACCTTCAGGTTACGAGACCAAGCTCGTTGACCATTCAGCCATTTCGGTTGAAATTCAATGACCCCTGAATTTTAACCTTGTCAAATTGTGATACAATACTGCCCTCATTAATGCATTCGATCAGCATCCACTTCACCTTAACATGGTTGACGTCATTGGTCATGAAATCCATCCAGTAGCCATCAGTGAGAGGGCAATTGATATTCAGATTATAGTATTTCTACAGACCCTTAACAAATCACACATCACTTTATAATATTTCTTGCGTTTTTATTCCTTTACATTCCCGGTGCAGCATAGGGCTCCAAGCTAGAGGCTTGAAGTTTCTGTAGCAGTGGTGATTATTTATACAGGATGGGGTTGCTAGCCTCATGCCTAACCTTCCCTCTTTATCAGCCTTACTACTAGCTTGACGAGGTAAAGGCGTGCGTCGGCCGGGGATCGAGCTCCAGACCACCTACGTGGTCGGCGAGCACTCTATTGCTGTGCCACCGACGCCATAATAAATAAAATTTAGAAGTGCAGAAATAAACACTGTACCTTTAATATTCTTTCTTATTTTTCTACAGAAAATAAAGATTATTCATTTGTAGTTGAAAAGCTTAATCATTTCCGAAAGTTGTGACCCACATGACTTGTACAAGAAATATCCATCAGAAAATTTAAAAATGTAGAACAATAAATTGAGAGAATCGTCTTTTTTCCAGCGAGTTCAGTCACATAACTGTTGCATACACATTGTTCTGGTAAGCAAATACTGAACAAAGTAGATAAAATGAGAACTCATACGCCCAGTGGATATATTCCCAATTGCATACCGAAAAATATACTATGTATGAGCGTAGACTCAAAATCCAACTAACTTGCTGGCATCTTACGGTAGAAATCAATCTGATGTTCACTAACGACTGGTCCTATTCAGGTAGTTACCTGGGGTTCTAATGGGAAGCTGTGACCAGTAGGGTACAGCAGGTTGAAGGTGAGGCCATCACTCATCGAAGAAGACACTGCGAAGTGGCTGCGCTATGTCATGAATTGGCAGAAGTTAGAATTCGGGTCCCAGTGGCTTAATGGCCTACGAGCTAGCTCACCTTGTAACCAGAAGGCCCTGGGTTCGAGCTTTGGCAGTTGGTGTGTGCTGTTGAAAAGTCCCAAACCAGGATGAAATGTCTGTCCAATACTCCCTGTAGGTTTTTCAACGGTTCCCTCACCGATATCAGCTCATGATGAAATCCTCCAACCTATCAAACAAAATGCCTACAAAACTAATACTTTAAGAAATCGTTCTCACCCAAAGATATGTTCCTTGCATTACGTTAAAGTCTGTGTTCTTCTGTCATTCTCTCACATTTAAACGATACTATGTATATCTGTCAATTTGTTTGCTTCTGCGGACCTAGGTCAGAAGGTTGTTTTTCGTGATTATTATCGAGAAGAATTACCGAACATCACCCTTCGGGATTAGGAAGTGGGAAATGCCTACCAAACAGAAGTGAAGTACCTGAAAATATTCTCAACCTTGACAACTTAGACTGCTGAGACGTTGCGTTTAGCGTCGTTTATAGACAAAAGATAAGTTCTGCAAACATAGTATGTATTCATATTATTTGTTCTGTTGAAGCCTTAGCCATTCACTTGAAGAAATCAATTCTATACACAAAAAAGAAACTGGTGAAACTAATTTTTCTGTCTTCGTCTTCATTTCAGGTTTCTTTTTCTTTTCAATGTTTTGAATCATCTATTACTGATAACTGTGCGTAATTACTGACCTCATATTTCTAGTGTAGACACTGCATCATTTCGATTGCACGTGTGCGATGCTGAATCGATAAACAAAGATTCAGTGAACAACCTATTTCTCTCTACCGAATTATACTACTTTTTAATACTTTCACTCTGTCCCACCGATAAGAATCGGCTTAAAACATTAATCATCTTATGATTCATCGTGTGATCGGATGATGATTTCATCATCTTTCTCTCACCATGGTCAGATCGTTAACCAATCAGAACAGTCTATTTCCATCACCCTAGTCAGATTTCATTATGGTTAAAAATACATAAATATGACGTGCTTTTTCCTAATAAAATGGTTTCTCAACAGTCACAGACATCATGGAGCAATTACTTAGCAACGATGAACACCTCTCACAACAATCAAAAATACAACACACAAGCTGGATGGAGTGCACAAACCTATGCCTAACGACGTATTTCCAATTCAACGGCCAAATATATGAACAAGTCAAAGGAATACTCATGGGATCGCCAATATCAGGTCTGATTGAAGAAGCAGTGATGCAAAGGCTCGAAAACATAATCCTACCAAAGATCAAACCCAAAATTTCGATACTTACGTAGACGACACATTTGTAATAATCAAAAGAAATGAGTTACATAAAACTCACAACTTAATAAACAACGTCTTCAACGACATCAAATTCACAAAAGAAGAAGAATCCGAGAGCAAAATCCCACTTTTGGACGTCTTAGTCAAGCGAACACCACAGGGGAATTAGAAACTTCAGTTTATAGAAAATCAACTCACACAGTCCAAATACTGAATTACAACAGCAACGAACCAATAACACACAAAAGGAGTTGTATAGAAACACTATTCAAGAGGGCCAGGACTCAATGCAGAACTCCCACCTTATGGAAAATTGAAGAAAGATATCTCATGGACGTCTTCCAAAAGATTGGATATCCACGGAATTTCATCAAAAGACATATACCCCCAAGCCAACCTATCATACCAAAAGCCCCCAAGGAAAGCACAAAGAAAATTGTCTTACCATATATAAAGGATATCTCGGAAATCACTGCAAGACTCTTCAAACCTTTAGGAATTGACGTCGTACACAAACCAACAAATTCACTTCACTCAATTCCATGTCAACCAAAAGACTCAACAAAGAAGGAAGATAGAACCAACATCATCTACAAAATAAATTGTAACAACTGCGAAAAACACTACATTAAGCAGAATGGACATCTCCTTAGTCTTCATATACATGAACATACACCAGCTGTCAAAAAACATGTCTTCCACTCCCTCATATCGCTACATACAGACAACCGCATGCATCATTTCGACTGGGACAACGTTCAAATATTAGACAGAGGAAACAACAAACATGTTAGAGAATTTTTAGAAGCCTGGATGACATCCCAGTGAATCATCAATCAATAGACACTTTGAGATAGACAAAATTTATCAACCGATAAAAAAGAAACGTCACATACAAAGAGTCAAAGTTCAAGGCAAAGAAACAATCAGTTGCAATGCAAGTAACTTAGAAGGTGTGAAAAGACACAAAAGCAACCAGTCACGTCCAAGGTCACCAGGAGAGATGATTAATAAACTCGTGCGTCGGTGGCACACTGGTCAGGACTCTCGCCGACCATGCACATGGTCGGAGGTTCGATCCGCTGTCAACGCACACCTGATATCTATGGTCGGCCAGGAAAATTTGGGCTACCGATATCCATGCTGAAAATTCCATACTTGTATCAAAAATACAGTGTGGAATCAAGCTGTAATCAAAAATTAAAAAAAATTTAAAATCTAAAAGCTCACTTCAAATCGACGTATGCGCTGAAGATGTCGCCTAGTAGGGCGATGAAATCTTCGCAAATTAACTATCCAGCTCAGAGAACACAACCATGTCAAAATCATCCATCTGAGCTACAAATCTTCTCTACATCTTTTCTCTAAGTTATTTAGCAGGATCAGTCATTCTAGGTTTAGCTAAATTTTTATGTCCCGATAATCTAGTTGACCCTGATTTACTAGTTTGACATTTTTTTTTTTGGTTGGTTTAAATGCCAGCCTAATTCCAGCCTCATCGAGAATTCTATGTAAGGCCTCTGATGTTCCTGCTTCATATGGCAGTATCATAGAGGCTGTGAATTCTTATTATTTTTGTTATTTTCACTGCTAATCTTATTTTTTCTGTGTACCTCCATACGTTTCTGAATAAATTCTGATGGGCAGTTATTCAGAAGTAATATTTTCTTTATTTGTTCGACTTTATTGTTTAAATCTTCTAGCTTACTAGTTGTAATTGTATATCAACCAGAGCGTGTTCAATGTTCAATCACTTACCATAAAAATAGGCTTTATTTTTTCTGAAAATAAAATTGTCTGAATAATCTACTTATGCCATACAATTTTGTGAGCATATCTCTGTTTCTACACTGCACTTCTTGTAAGCGCCGTATAGCTAACACTACAGAAGAATTAATTACCTTTGGTAGTCTGAATGGGTATATTAAGATGTCAAATTAACCACTAGTAAGATTTAGAAATAGTGTAGATTTGCAGCTCAAGTGAACGCTTTTTGATGTTGTTATGTTCTCTCTCAACTGGATAGCTAAATTTCTGAGCTTTAATTATCTTTCATGACAATATCTTCACCTATGATTTCATTGGGTTACTTCACTCAATTTAGAGCTGAAGATATCGTCCAGAGGAGTGATAAAAGCTTTATGATTAAAATGTTCACCTCAGAGAACACAACAAGATCAGGAAAAAAATAAGACGAACAAGTTTTCGAACACATTTGAAAATCACGATTGATCACAAAGTAACTCCATTTAGAAAACCGTTGAAAATTAGTAACTTATAGACGGCTTTTTCCTCCTTGTTTGGGACTCTTCAACAGTAGGCGACCACCCGCCTCCATGATTTGTATTCAGGACCTTCAGGTAACAAGGCGAACTCGTCTACCATCCCCAAATGAGACGAAATCCGACTACATACCAATTTCAGCTTCTGCCGTTGACCACTAGTCAATGTTATCGATGAGCATTTGCCGTCACACGCAACCTGGTGGACTGAGCTAGTCACGACTTCTCATTAGAACTTCAGCCAATTTCAACCTGTAATAAGTCACTAGTGAGCCTTTTAGTGGCCAGTAGTGACTGACTGCAGTGTGAAGCTGCTTGAAGTTCCAGTGAGAAGTTTTGACTAGCCCGGTCCACCAGGTTGAGTACGCGGACAAATACTCGCCGATGACACTGACTATTGGTTACTTTATAGAAATGATGGATCGTTGGATGCTATCCTAGTGTCTGAATGGTATACCGACTCGATGTGTAACCTGAAGGTCCTGGGTTCAATTCCTTGCGGACTCATAGTGGTGTACTGTTGAAAAGTTTCAAACAAGAATGAAACACTTGTCTAGTACTTCCTAGTTCTCAATGATCCTTTATCTGAAGTTGGCTCATGACTAGCCTTGAAAAGAATTACATCCTGAAAACAAAAATAATTGGAAATGAACATTTTGATATCTACATAAATTTATCAGTTTATAGGACACTTTTTCTCTATGCTACATAGGTTAATCTTTTGATACAATTTCATGTTACATCCTATTTCATTATCCCAGTATAAGGGTATGTGAATAAAGAATATATGTGAATGGTCTGTTTAGATTGTCACACCCAAAAATTTAAAGATGCATTTTACAACAAGGCTAATATTCTTTATTCTAGTAGTTTTATGATGTTTACGAGGTCATTTCTGATGAAGCAAAAATAAGGGAATTCTCATAATATTAACACGCCTTTCAGAATTCCACTTTTAAGCAGTTTGTGACTTTCATTTAACATTGAAATGAATGAGTTTATTAAGAATTAGTAGACTTTTAAAGGTATAGAAGAAGGTGACGTTAACCACCATATGACAGCCAGCATTTAGGAATACAGTACTAAGCATCTAACTGGAGGATTTAGACTTGCCTACAAAATACTGATATAACAGACATCTTCATATAGGTATCACTAACCTAAAGACTGGGAATAGAAAACTATATTCCACCCACTTTTATCAAAATCCTATGTAATTAGAGTGAATAATATGATTGGGTTTCGCTTAAGCTGGCATTAGTGGTCTGGTTGATAGACATGGCTGTTACATTTATAAGATATGAGAAGGTTTTCGGATCTTGGTCACAAGTGTTTCAGTAAGAGCAGTCATGCTGTGAAAGGATTACATGGTGTGTAGTGTCCAGATTAGGGCGGAATTTTAGGTAATGAGAGAAATTTAACTGATGACGTTGTGAATTCTAAAAGAATTACATGCTTAAACAATTGTTGCGCATATAAGACCACGCCTTTCAGGTAGTGTGAAGTCGTTAGGAGTAGGATAGTCAGATGAATACAATTCACAAGATGATAAAGTTTCTGAATATTGGTATGAGCTATAAAGGGGTAATGTGAGTTAACTGGTTGCAGCTTTTGGAATGTTAACCACCACTGGCTGAAGACTGTCGATGAAATGGCTAACAGTCATTTCACAAGAGCCTAAGCCTATCCATTGTCGCTGTTCCTGGAATTAAAAATTTTTCATTTGTTAACTTGTCCCCTTTCACATTTATGTTTCCTCACGTTCAGTTTTGAAGTGCAGCAACCTAGTCTGATGATCTTTCATGAAAGGTTCTTGTTCAATTCATCTGTCTGTTTGAGTTTGCTATCTGCTTATTCTGACAGGTGAGGGAAAAAGATTTTAGTGAGAGATGTGTCTCAGCAAAATCCACTACTTTCCGCTGTGTCCCAATGAGTCATACGTCAACACAAGAAAACCTTTTAAGTACTGCAACTAAGATACAATGAGATTCATTTATATCAACAGATCATGTGAAAGACATTATATTGCTAAAAGATATATATGCTCATATTCAAAAATGTTTCATTTACGTCCTAGAGACTTAAAAGTTTCCATTAGATAGTCAAAACAAGAAAGATTTCGGTTAGTCAGTTAGTTAGTTAGTTTGTAGGGATTCGACTTGTTTTAAATTTGATGCAGGTGTCAGTTAGAAAACCACTGTGAAAGCCAGGGAGTACTGGACAGCTGTTTCTCCCCACCCTATTTCAGGACTCCTTGGCTGTAGGCATCCATGATCCCACCAGAGATAGAACCCAAAACCTTCAGCTTACAAGGCAAACTCCTTGATCATTCAACCACTGGGACTGCAGTATCGTTAAAAATCATGAACTGATAGAATTTATGGGCCAATGGATTCCTTTCCAGTGGCTGAAAGGCCAACGAGGTCGCCTTCTAACCTGAAATTCCTGGTTTCCATCCCGGTTACAAGGTTAGCCTGTAGACTATGCAGCAACTGGGAGGGAATCCAGTAGCCCATCAATTCTAACTTCTGCCAATGCGCTTTATGTAGCACCGCCGCAAGGCAAAGTCATCAGCGAGTATTTGTTTCAAACCTCACTTGGTGGACTTCACTGGCCCAGGCAACTTTATGCTGTAATCAGTCACTAGCGAGCGCTAGACTGATTTTCAAGTGTTGCTCTGCAGTGATTTGTTTGACTTCAAGGACAAAACACTTGCCCAGTACTCCCTGATTTTCAGTGATTCCTTAACCGATGTGAATTCATAGTGAAACAAGAAGCCAATAAAATCCATACAAACTAACACTTGAACTATTTTCATGTGTCGTTAAAAATACCTCGGTAGTACAGTTAGTCCCATAAAAGAATAAATGTTTCAAAGGTGGTCATATTACCATCTCTTAGTTCGAAAACAACGTCTGTCACATTTTCAATGTACAATACTTTCTACTAACCATCTTTTGATAACAGCCGAATAAAATGTAGTTATTTGAAGTTCACTTTATTCAGTTTATCCTTTTGATCAGTTCAACGTCTTTTTAATCACTCTATGATACAGCATCTACAGTGTGTTGCTACTTCATAAGTATTCCTTCAAACAGCGCTGAAGATGATGTATAGGAATGTTTCTAAGCACATTTGCAATTTTCTATCTCCCTCACAATAAGGATATTAACAACAGTCCCGTTTTTCTCTTGATACTTTGACAAAATTCTTGTTATCAGAAAAAAAAGTGTTGCTAAGAAGTAGATAGGCAACTACACATCTATCCGTAAGACTTTATTAACCACCTACTGACCTGCCAAATTATTTTATTCCTTTACGTTCCCAAGTAGAACATATGGCTTAAAGCTTCAGCTGTGAATTCCTAGTAGCAGTGGTGTAATTTATGCGGTGAGGTTGCTAGTAACTCACTCAACCGTCCCTCTTTATTGGAGTTACTGCCAGCTAAGCAGGCGAGCGAGCTTTTGGAGTATATCGGTCAAGGATTGAACCCAACACTACGTACATGGTTGGCGGGTATTCTACCGTTGAACTACCCTGACTGACAATTATGTTTTTCAAATAATTTAGATCTGGGGTTTTAGATTACAGTATTTCTAGAGTAAACGATAGTTGGTTAACACATTATAAGGAAACGGTTTATAATATATATATATATATATGCATTGATGGACAGTTTTTCTGTATTCTGATATCAATAATAATGATTGTTTGTGTGTCTGTGTGTAGGTGCTTAGCCATTACTTGCTTACACTATAAACTACTGTGATCGAAAGGTCTACCGGTATCAATCTGCTCTAGACTTATCGATCGAATCACCAGTCAGATGTGTCATAATAATACAGTAATTCCAAAGGTCACATCAATTGTCAGTAGTATGGTTTCAAACGGGTAATATATATATATATATATATATATATAATTTGAAGATTAAACAGATTTATTTATTTCTTTTTAACAATTTATTCTAACTTACTTGAAATTTTCTCCTGTATGGCTGTGTAACAGAACAGGCTCCATTGCCCAAGTAGTCGGACATTTGGCCTTGATTTCGTTTCATAGCTTCAAGAGCTTCTATCGTTCTTAGACGAAAACCTGCATATGCACTGTTGTCTTTATCATCGACAGTATTTTCATTTTGCTTATTGTCTTTACACATATTTAAACAGTTCATCATTTGATAACCAGATAGTGATTTTTCTTGAATGCTTTCACCGTCTGGTCTTACACGATGAGCTACAGTACTTGAAGGATCTAAGTAAATAAAACAAATAAAACGAATAATATAAAAATCACGAATTGGTAGAGGTTAGGGCAAAGTTAAACTTTTAGCATCACTTACTACCAGTTAGCAAATGACGTCGAACGCACCAGTCAGGAGGAGGACGAGGCATTTTTGTGTATGGAATACATACATATTTATGCATAAAAACTGTATAAAAGTGTTAAAGAGGATACCTTCGTCTCACATGTGATAAAAATATCTCTCAGTTTTAGGTTGGAGTATCAACAGAGTATAATTCCATTGTGAGCAGAATTTGTTTTAATAAAGTCTGACAGTGTTATACAGTAATACTTAATGAGCAATAAATTGTGCTCGAAACGTCATCAGTAAATATTATCAAAATAAATTTTATCCACAATGGAATTATACTCTGACATAGTGCACAAGTTCTATCCTTATATCCACATAGTAATGTGAACACATTCTACACAAGTAATTATTTAGGTCTTTTAACCCTCATAATAACCCTATATCTTTCTTAAACCTAACCCTAACGTGAAAATATCCATAAACTAAGTGTAATCTAACTCGAACCAACCCTAATGTCTCCTTTATTAGGTTAATCTAACCCTAACTTCTCCTTGGCTTAAACCGTAACTTAGTCTTTCCCTAACCTAAGCTGAAACTTGCCGGATATCCCATTTAATAGCATAGCACTGCGATAAAGATATTTTATTGATGGTGATAACATTATCTGCCAGGTTTCACTAACTTGTTCAGTGAGCGTTTCACGGTCATTGGTGTGGCCACACTCCACTGGTAGTTAGTGGTGCTTAAGTTTAACTTGGCCGAAGTTAGAATTTATGAGCCATTTAATCGGGCGACAATGGCTGAATGGTATACGAGCTTGCCTTGAAACCGGAAGGTCCTGGGTTCGAACCCTAGTCGGTGTGTACTGCAAATGACAAAACAGCTGTTCAGTGGTCAAGCGGTGTTTTTCAATAATTCTCTGAATGGTATCAATCCGTGGTCAAACTTGAAATGCAAATGAAATCCCTACAATTCAATCCTTGAGAATGATTTAAGTTTATAATGGGATAATGCTTATACCCTTCATGACAGACTTGTATAGTGTTAGCAGTGGATTACACAACCTTTTTAAAAAATGTTAGGCAATTCAAGTCGACGTGAAAAAGAAATAGTGACATTTTCAAAATTCATAGAACAATATTTCCATCAGAAAACTGAAATAACATCTTGTTCCTTATTCCAAGAACTTAACAAGATATTCAATTTTGAAATTTCAGAATTAATTCGCAATTTGTTATTCATATATTTTGAGTTTAAATTTCACAGCAGTTTCCTTTGGCGAGCATTACTGGTTGATGTGGGCGGCATGCAACTACTGACGTCGATTAATCAGTAACATGTAGGTGGCATCATGCATTTTCACTTGCCTTCTTGATTACCACATATGGTATCAAGCAGATCTCATAGTGTGATCTGAATAATTCCTTTTTTCAAAGGAACCTGTAGTGAAATTTCTCCCCGAACTGTGTGAATTGCAAATCTCGAATTAATCTGTAGAATTACGAATCAGATTTAGCGTATTAATAATTCGCTCAAGTAGCTGGCCAGGATGCGGATGGTTTCAATTGACTGAGTTCTCCAAATTGAGTCAAGTCATGTACACGACTGATAAGCTCAACGGTAAACCGATGAAACGGAATTCCGATGTTAAGATCACTTCAGTTTGGCTAGCAAGCACTAATGGTTGATGTGAATGGTATCTAACTACTCATATCAGTATACCAGTAGTATATAGCGTCATACACTGACAGGATTTTATCCACTTCAGACATTTTCGATATCAGTTTGGCCATAAAACTCAATTTCATTGTTGAGTTGTTCTGACAATTTACATAAACCATGATCCTAACATAGTTGATGATAACATCTATGATTATTATTATTATTATTATAAACCGCTGCTTATTATGCATTATTTCGTGGCTATAACGCCTGTTCCTCAGGATGAAACAAAGAAGGAGTGGAGATAAATTTTATTATTCCATGTCGACGCCCATGAGATTTATCTAAATCAGATGAAAACTATGTTAAGTGGTTGGGAGCAGTCAGCAGAAATCCATTGGCTTGGTTTTTGTGCTTACTGATACATGAATGTTCCCTCCAATTCCCATACCTTTGGCTATGTGTAAAAAGCGGGTTCAAATTCCTTTCGAAAGGCTAGTTGGAATGCAATAGATAACTCGGAAGGCACTTCTCCTGTGGACAGAAGAAGTTAACGATCGCATCCCAGCGAGCCTTTCGAACGGAATTCGAACCCACCTTTTACACATAGCAGAAGCTATGAGAATTTGAGAGAACATCCCTAGTCTTTGCCTCCACCTGTTTCATTTCACATATTCGTTATTTCATTATGAACCTCTCATTGCAGTCTTACTATCTTCTGTTTAACACAGACCACTTTGTACTAGACTCTCACCTGACACCTTTTATAACCTTGAACTGACTTACTTGTCAATTTTCCTATCCCACACTCTACAAATCTATTATGACTAATCACCACCACTATTGTCTCCCGTTTTACAATATTTTGGTAATTGATTTCAGCCTAGCACGGCGTTTGTCACACAAATACGACTATTTATTTTGACACGCCATGACTAATCTGTTATTCTACGTTAAAAATGTATCCACCGCATATATAACTGACCATTATTGTAACAATGACACATATTATATTTTATAATTGTAAGAACCTGAAGAGGAGAACTTATTTAAAAGAATATTCCTCGTTCAGATTGACTTTTAATTCATAATATGGGAATATTTCACACTATCAAATCTAGTCTTTGCATACTAAAGAAGTTTGTTCTTACTGATATATGTCAATAAGAAGCATCCGTAGCTTTGAAGGAACTGATTTGTTTCCAGAGAGTAAAACCTAGTGGGGAAATCGAAGTGATCTCGCCATCGGAGATTTGTCTCACCCTTTTAGGACCGAGTTCAGCACTGTGCTCCGTTAAATTTACTTATTTAGGTCAAATTAGTTCAAACCACACAAATTCCGATCACGAAAGCGAACAATGTGTTCCTTTAATTGAGTAATTAATTGAATAGTTCATATATGGGTCAAATTATCTCATAACAAACAGAAAGATTTTCACCTAATTGGCACATCATTCCTTTAAAGCTTGTTAACTTTCATGAGTTTACGGGAGTGGGATGATTGAAAAGAGTATTATTAAACACCGTATCCAATATGACCTTTATTTCTTTAAAAAGGGCTTTATCAAGGCCACATGAATATATTCAGAGTTTAAAAGTTTTAGGAGGAGAAAGATCTTCCTTTTTACGACTTTTATGTAGCTTTAGAAGGATATTTTAATTTCATTCTGATTGTAAGAAACATGATAATTGTGTCAATTAGGTCGACTTTAATGCACATCCCGGCAATTCTGTATCCCCATACCTTTCTTTTTTGTCATAGCTACCTGAATACAGTAAATTTTCAAGATTTTCAGACCTCGTTTACAAAAGTGATACTGATCCGGATCTTTAGTGAATTCAAATGCTTTCGAGTCTTTCCATATTAGTTTGATTATTAGATGTATCACACAGTGAAACAGTATTATTTACTGGATGACACAGTTTCGAACAAAATTTATTGATCATAATCATATCAACTGTAATCACACGACTTTGAAATTTGAGTTTTATAGTTTTCTTTGTTTTCTCCTATTCGTCGTAGGAGTAGTAGAATTTTTCAGATATCAGGGACAGGTGATGAATCATTCCTATTACATGTATTTGCAGTTGATTCGATAAACAAAGCTTCTGTTATCAATCTCTCCCTCCACCCTGTGACATTAGATTTTAAAACTGTCATCTTATCCCATCTATTCTATTGTATGGTTGTGTGTAACTGCATGTAGAAATGCTGTAGCTGAACTATTCTCTAGATTTCTTATCTTATTTGGGTCAACCAACCTAATTAGATTGGTTGTCTCAAGTACTTTGTTATTAGTACTTTTTCAGATATCACTATGATTTTAAATACTTTGTCGTGACTAACATTATTATTATGCTCACCTGTTGCTGAAACTTCCTTACGAGACACCGTTTTGAAAAAAATTACATTTATGCCAATGTACTGCTTGATAGTTAATACTTTAGAAAGGGTTTTTTTCGCTGAACATTGTGTCCTCAGATACTTTAATCACCCTGTGTTTTCCTGTGTTTCTTTTCGCAGATATGATTGTGAGTGGAATGAATATTGACTGACAGGAGGAAAGGTGCTTACAGATAATCTCTTTTATTAAGTGTACAACGGTTTAAGCTAATACTACTGATTGCAGACAGTTAGTCCGATCTAAATATGCCTTATAAGATTAACACATTGCCTGAGACTACAACCACCAATTTAATTTTAAAGTAGGTTATTAGAATTTAAAAAACATACCTTGTTTCGTTCCTAAGAACATAGAACTTCCCATATATCCATCTCGACCAAGTTGTCGCCATTTTTCAGCATCAGAACCACGAACAGCTGCAGAACGTGGCCGAATGACTGAAGAATCAATATTATCCAATACTTGTGACATTTGATTGCTGGGCTGTTTGCCTAAACACAATGCCATAGAAGTTCCTGTTTTTGACCAAATTGCATTATTCTGAGCTTCTTCAGTTGGACATCCATAAGGAATTGTGTGCTGCATTTCAGCCGGAGACATTTTCATAGTTAGTAAATCATCTAAACCCTGTTTTAAACAATAACAACAACAACAGCAACAAAGTTAACGTCTTAAAGTGAGTGATTCAATGAGATTTGGCTTATTAGTTTAAGTATATCATTTTCAACCAATGGTCTTGAGTTCGAACCCCATTATGCTTACTTCAGCTTTGGCAAACTAGTAGTGATGTCAACACCCGTATAGAGAGTGTGGCTCTTAGCCTAGTGCATGTAAAATCTGTTCCTGCTGCCTGAATCCAAAAGAAATAACAACTGTGCCTTTCTTTTGATATTATTCATGACAAAATTATTCTCTCAGAAGATTAAATCATGTACACTAATTGGTCATTGAAGTGTAATGTACGTTGGCTGGTGGTCGCTCTAAAATCATGATTTGGTAGGAGTTGGAATTCATCGGCCATTGGATAGCGTCCCAATGGCTGAGTAGTCTATCAGCTTGCGTCGCAACCTGCCCTTGACTTCAAGCCCTGGCGGTTACGCACTGATGAGGAGTCCCAAGCTAGGAAGAAGCAGCTGTCCAGTACTTCTCGGTTTCCCAGTGGTTCTCTAACTGATGTCAGCTGGCGATTGGACTTCAAATTATTTCATGCCGTTTAGTTTTAAAAGTCGTTTGAATTTTCTAAAGAGAAGTCTTCGTAATTTTCATACTGACATAATGGATTATGCTTGAAGGTACAATGAAAGTCTGGCTGAAGGCAGGATTCACACCACCCACCTCTGCTTTGTCACTCTGGTGATATACCAGGTGAGGTATGAGATCCAGCTGAGGTGAAATGATCTGGTTAACAATTGGGTCTGGTAACTCACCTGATGACCGTAGAAACGATAATGGGAGGGCAGTGTTTCTAATCCTGTTATCTGGGTTTTCATTTTATCCTCGATCCTCTTCCGTTACAACAGTAACAGTCTTATAACTCAAAACTATCTCAGATAACCTCACTATCAGCTGTTATAGGATTGAGTGGTAATGGATAGCTGGGAGAAGTTAAATTTCACAGCCATATTCACAGTGACCTTGAGCAGCCAATCAGAATTTAGACATAAGAAAAGTCCCATAATGATTTTTAAAAACTAATTTAGAAAAATCGCAAACATAATATTACACTGTATAATTGTTGCTTATGTGTTGTAAGAATGTCTCCTAGTTACTCGAAAGATAATCCATAGAGAAATCATAGCATTCGTGATAGATGTATTCGTCCACAAGACTGTATACCATGTTATTCTGGGATCCATTGATATTCCACTGATCTTAACTCACTTAATTGCTGTCAGATCGCTTCCAGATGCTCATTGGTGCATCATTACGCAATCCTTTCTTACCCGCACATTTTCAGTCGATAAGCGCCTCTGTTATTAAGTCATTCAGTAAACTTCTCCAGTATTCTTACCAATAAATAGCTACTTTCTTTTCGTACCCATATGTAACTGATTATACCATCACATTCCGATCATTTTTGTTTCTTTAACCTAAAATCCTAATGGTAAAGTACAATAAAAAGAAATAAACCTTCTTATTCCATTAATACTACTTATTTTTTAGAATATCAGAAGTTGAAGAGAAGCTTCGAAGCCAGATTTGCATCTCTTTATATTGCCAATTTTTTTCTCCTTCTTGCTGTGACCAATATTGGAAAAAGAGAGATTTTCAAGAGTCGATTTGCGAGGATTAGATTTGTTTTTCGAATTTGATCACGGATTGATATCAGTTAGAGAACCACTGAAAACTAGCACTGACGTACTAAACAGCTGTTTCATCCTAGTTTGGAAATCATCGGCAGTATGCACTACTGGGATTCAGACCCAGAAGCTATCGGTTATAAGGCAGGGTTGTATAACACTCAGCCACTGAGACCCGATTAAATGGCTCATGAAATCAAACTTCTACCAACTCGTGATTTTAGGGCGAGCACCAGTTCTAGTGAGAAGTTATGACCAGTGAGGTTCATCCAGGCGGATTCAGGTTGGATTTCTCGCCGATGACACTGGTTGGTGGTGGATCTATAATCCCGATTTAGTAGAAGTTAGATTTCATGGACCATTTAATCGGATCTCAGTGGTTGAATGTTATACGAGCTTGCCTAGTAACTGATAGGTCCTAGGTCTGAATCCTAGTGGTTTCGTACTGCCGATGATTCGCAAGCTAGGATGAAACAGCTATCCAGTACTTCGTGGTTTCCAAGGGTTGCCTAACTGATATCAATCTGTGATCGAAATCAAAAAATAGAGATATTAGCAAGTTATTTTATTTTCTCACCTGCTCTTTCCATTGTACCACATCGAGAGAATGTGTTTAGATGAATTTTGAAGAAAAGTATCTCATATTCAAAGGCTGTAAGTGTTTACCACATTTTCTCCAAGGTGAAGAGAATCTTCTTAATTATCAAAATATCTTCCAGTATTCTAATGTATGACTGGTAATTCCTGTACTAAAACAATCAGTATATATAAAAATCTACTATGGATAAAATTTATTTCTATAAAGTCTCACAGTCCTTTATACAGTTTCATTACTGTATAACACTGCGAGACTTTATCAAAATAAATTTTATCCATAACTCAATTGTCCTCTGCCACAGTGCTCAAGTCCTATCCTTCTTTATAGAATCTATTTTGATCACATTTTATGTCTAGATCAATCGAAAATCAAATCTTGAAAATAAGCAGTTTATCCCAGCTGTTAATCATTTAACTTACTCGATTTTTTAATGAATATTCTATGCCTTCACGGTGTACTCTCAAACGTGTCGGTAAACTCGTTGTATTCTCATCCAACGTCTCTCTTGCCTTTGGTTGTGGATGTGCAAACCAATTATTCACTTCATTACGTCGACTATAACTGGATGATATTGATGATTTTCTACGATCAGGATTTATTTCAGTATTTGTTCCGTCAAATGATTTATGCTTGAACCAATCACATTCTTGTGTCATATTCTCTAAAATTGCCTGATAAAAATAAATTAAAAGAGTTTGATATGATGTTTTTATTGTTCATTCAATATTCAAGTGATATTTGTTATCTGTGGAAAACTACTGTAGCCCAGACAGTTACTCAGAATTCATAGATGTTTTGCAACTAACAGAGTTGTCTTCTGTTGAGTATAAAGCATTAAGACACAATTACAAGAATCGCATTTCCACACCTGTTTAACAATCTGACACTAACTGTCTCGTCATACCTACCGACTATTCAGTACTGCGCACTTATGAACCCATGTTGGATCAAACCCTCAGCCGTCATATTACAACACAAGTCCATTGACGATATAGCCATCAAGTTGGCTCACTTTGATTTAAAGAATCTTTTCATAAAGCAGTTAGGATCTTGAGCTGCACAAACTCAAAGATCAGAGGAGGTAACCAAGACAGGACTTCAGGCGGATATAAAAAAAGGGAAGGTAATGATGGTATCTAACCAATAATAACAGTAAGCATCAATCATCATTGACGGGAGAAGTCTAAATGAAGTCATCTCTTTCGCTAGCCTAGGTATCACTGTTTCAACAACACTGATGAGGATATCAAAGCTAGCCAGGGTGGGGAAACAACGCAGGGTTTCAGTACTCTGAAATCAGTATGGAGGTCAAAATAATGAACAAGATCCGAATTTTCAACACTAATATAAAGACAGTCAGTGTTTCTATATGGTCCTCTGGAAGTGTTTTGAATACGTTACTGCAGGCTTTTATCAACAGCTGCCTACTTCGTCTTGACAGTGAAGATTAGATGGTCGGCCAAAAAGCATAAACAACAAAGAAATACTGAAGACAACGAACAAACCAAGAACCTGTTGCTTAACAAATATACAGAACGAAATGGAGATGGGTTGGATTTACTTCATGAAGGTTGTGGGCAGTTTTGGAGCCAGCTAATAAAAAACGACAGTAAACACAGTACAATCCGTATGTCTCACTCATATCCCAAAGGACGAATTATAATGACAACGTGACTCGAACTGGGATAAGACTGTATGTTACTCATCGTTTTAATTGAAGGTGCATGAAATAGCTTTAAATATTCCCATTTTTTAATATTAGAACAATACATGTAAGCGAATAATATTATTTTCAATTAGATCTTCAGGCTTTACTCTAATTTACATAGACTTATATATAAAAAGTTGTAACCAATGACGGTGATTTTATGGATCAAATAATAATAATGTGGTAAATATTTTTAACGAAATTAATAACGATGATTATAATGATAACAAAATATTGATAATAAGGTTTATGCAGGTGATAAGGATAACAAAGATAGTATAGGTATTTATGTGTATATGTAGACAATTCAATAAATAAATAAATTAGGTCAAATCTTAAAAGGTGAGGTGGACAGATAACCAGAGTTTAAATAAATATCATAAAAGTACGAAGGAGATGGAAAATAAGAAAGGATGGGAGGGTTTTGAATAGAACTCACTTAGGCCAAAGGAGAAACAAAGGTAGAAAAACATCTTTTTTTATGCAAAGACTAGGATTGTTCTCTCGAATTCCGATAGCTTCGGTTATGTGTAAAAGACGGGTTCGAACTCCGTTCGAAAGGCTCGATGGAATGCGATAGATAACTTTGAAAGCACTATTTTCGTCCACCTGGTGATCACTATCAATCAAATGAGCCAAAATAGAACTTCTTATAGATTTTATTTGACCTTTTCCGAACCATGAAAGAAGATGCTCATTATTGCGTTTGTTAAGCTGTCTAGTTGTTCGCCCTATATAGCTCTCTCCACAGGAGCAACTTAATTTATAGATACACATAGAAGTGGCACAGCTAGATAGCTTGTCTTTCACTTGAGCAATCATAACTGGCCGGCTGGAAAGTGACAAACAAAGGGTGGCGGCAGTATAAATCCGTTTTATTGCTCTCAATAATCTCAGATGTAAGACGTCGTTAGCCACATCCCCATTAAATTGCAGTTTCATGAACAGTCGTTTCTTTTTAACTGTTGTCAGTTTCTCTTTATTGTACCTGGTGTTCATGTGTCTCCCTACAAGTCTACTAGGAGAACCCATTTGGACCAGCGTATTTTGGATGTATCCTAACTCGTTTTGTAGGGAGTCATCTGTACAGATACGTCTTGCTCTGTTCGTGAGGCATCGGACCAAAATTGACTCTTTATCGGATTGGTACAAAACTGAGGAAATGTGTATGTTCTCCTACAGATGTTAAAATTTTTTACATATAAATCTATGTAAATTAGAGTAAAACCTGAAGAAGATCTAACTGAAAACAATACTGTTCGCTTACGTGTCTTGTTCTAGGGTCAAATATCAACAAGTTTATAAGGCAAGTATTCAAAATATAAATCACTAACACAATCTCGACTCTGATAAGTGTTGTTCGTCTACCATCACATAGACGAAACTACCCCATACCAAGCGTTTTAAAATAAATCTGTCTATTGAACAAAGGATAGTGAATTGTATTCTCCCTTGGATTATCCGAGTTATTCACGCAGCGTTCATAACCTGAGAGTATAATACTGGGTCACCAAGTTAGTTATCGTTTCATAATACCATGTTATGGTCTAGGCATTTGTAGGTGACATTTCCCTTAACAGTATTTGTTCCTGGAATTCTTGAAGGAACATTATCTCCACAGTGTCACCGTAGGATATTCTACCCGTCGCTCCCCATTTGCGTTCCACTCGAAGGCCGGCTTAGCATGTGGCATCACTCAGTGGTTTCCTCAGAGTGTGTCGAATCCATCTCCTCTAAATTATGCATGTTTGTTGACTAACGGGTTCTTATCTAGTTCTTTATCCTTTCTGGTCGTATAATTTACAGTATCGAATGCAGGCATCTGTTGACAAAACTCTGTAGCCTGATGGAGATGATTCAGTGGATGCACGCGCCAAGTGTCTGAACCCTATGGAAGCATCAACTTAACGTCAGTGTTCGAAATGGGGATCTTTTTCATTGTCATGAGTACTATTAATCTTCATAATGATTTCAGAGCTATGAACCCGTGTTTTGCATCTCAGGCCTGATCCTGGTTTTCATATCCTCATCTGTGCTGCTTGTCGCTGACACGATAATCACAATACACACACACACACAAGAAGATATTTATAATGATTGCTTCCGGTGACTGACTCAAACAAGCTGATTTCTGTCCATCTGCAAACCGAATTTCATTCTATTTCCAACTGACATTTCTTTATGTCAAGTCAACCCATCAAATGAGGAGTATTTCGACTACTTCAATCAAAAAGAAGTGAAACTTAAAAAAAGGTTTATATACTCCTTCAGACGTTTTATATTTTTATTCAAGTGTTAGTTTGTAGGGATTTGATTGGTTTACAGGATTTCATCATGAGTTGACATTAATTAGAGAACCATTGGAAAACCTGGGAGTACTGGACAGCTGTTTCATCCTAGTTTGGGACTCTTCAGCAGTACGCACCCACCGCCACGGTTCGAACCCAGGACCTTCTGGTCACTAGGCGAGCTCGTAGACCGTTGCACCACAGGGACTCGATCCAATGGCCAGCCCATGAATTCCAACTTCTGCCAATTCCCGACATAGCGCGACCCCTAGCCAATGTCTTCGGCGAGTATCTGTCCTCATACCCGACCTGCTGCGCTCTACTGGTCACGACTTCTCACTAGAACCCCACCTACCTGATTAGGGCAAGTCGCTAGTGAGCATCTCATTGATATTCAAGTGTTGGTGAATTGGCAGAAGTTAGAACTCATGGGCCATTGGATCAGGTCCCAGTGGCTAAATGGTCTACGAGCTCGCCTAGTAACCAGAAGGTCCTGGGTTCGAACCGTGGCGATGGGCGCGTACTGCTGAGGATTCCCAAACTAGGACGAAACAACTGTCCAGTACTCCCAGGTTTTCCAATGGCTCTCTAACTAATGTCAGCTCATGATGAAATCCTGTAACTTTTACATTTTTATTATCACACGGATGGTAATATAATTACTGTCTAGAATGAAACCATTATTACTGATATCAGTCTTATTATTTTTTTAAATTTAGATATTTGCCTCTAAAAGCAGGGAAATTAACTAAATAATCTAAATCATATACATTATTATCAAAAATGTTTGAATTAATATCTCAAAAGGCTAAATTTCATAAATCGATCGAATAAAAGCTCGAAAGCTCTGTTATATCTCTATTCATACATCTCAGCAAGCCATTATTTCAACTATAAGGAAAAGATTGCTGTCATAAAAGGTTCAGGTTTCTTCGTTGTAAGATGAGAAGTTGCTAAATTACTGAATGATTCGGATAATGTGGTTGCTAAGTAGTTAGTAACCAACGTAGATCCCTATTTTCCAACTTGTATTAAAATCAATCCTCAAGTGACGGGTTCAAGGGATTTAACAGAAGTGAGAATTTACAAGTGATTGGTTCCCAACACATTGGCTGAGAGCTTAGTGGATTCACCTAGCAAGCTAAGTGTTGTGGTGATGATACCTGATTGGATCGAAGGTTCCCACTACTGAAAAGTTCAGTAGTCCTCTAACTGATGTCAATGCATGGAGAAATCTGCCTCGAAATCAAAATTATTGGTGCAATGAAATCGCTTTTCCTTGCTTCCCTTTTCCCACTCAAACCTGGGATACAATTCCCAAAAATCAAGTTATCAATTTCGATTCAACAACATGTCTGATATGGTCGTCCTTCAATAATGAAGAGGGACTTTAAATAGGAAATAAGAATCTGCATGAAGTCATTAAGCTTTGTTGGCATTTTTAGTTTATTAAAGAGAAGAAGAAGGAGGAAATCTTTACGGTTTCTGTTTTCGTTCAAGAAAGCATCAGATAAACAAATGAAGTCTTCATTTGGTTTTTCAAGGAAGGACAGACAAAAATAGCGTCATTCCATATTCAAAACTCTTCGTAATAAAGCGAGATATCAAAATATATATTATGTTATCATTAATTCATTATCAAACTTGGTTAACCGCTTGTGAAATCGATAATCAT